GTAACAGCCTGAAATGATCGGTTCAAATGGCCAGTATCGATGCACCCGTTGGAGAGAGTCGTTATGTAACGAGGTGCCGCAGGATTCCAATGAAATACCCACAACTCGACCCCTATTGCAAGGGAGCATTTAAAATAAATACAGAAAAATAAAAGCAGTAGTCTATTGTTTGGGCGAGTGAATTAAAAAAAGAGCTCTCACCAGACCAACTTTTGAGCCTCTCACATCTTATTCTTTGGCACACCTCTCCATGAAGGTTGCATTGCTGGTTGTGCTAACATTGGCTCTCCACATCAGAGACATTCATGGCCTACCTACCTTTTATGATATTACACTCTGATAAGGTCACCTTTTGTACACACCCAGAATACATATCTAAGGTGGTCTCCTCGTTTCATATAAATTAACCACTAAACTTACCTGTATTCTTTCCAAAACTACATGCCAATGCATTTGAGTTTCCATGCACTCTCTCAAAGTCAGTCATGCATTAGCATTCTACTTGCAGAGAACTACCCTTTAGGCAATCTGGGTAGGAACTTTCGAAAGAAGGCGTTCTTCCTCGTAAATTGAGGTTTACCGCCATCGAAAGAAAAGCCGCGTTCTTTCGAATTAATTTCGAAAGAACGCGGCTTGAGTCTGGACGCAGGGGAAGTTTTTTTGGGAAAAGGCTACTTTTCCCGAAAAAACCCCTGAGTCTGGACACACCCTGGGTGGTTTGATGGTGAAAAAGCCTGAACTTTGTGAACCTCAGTGTCTGCTGCCAGGAAATGGGTTATTGCCCCAACGTTTGCAACAAGTGTGAAAGGGATGAAAGCAGAAAAATGCTTAAAGAAGCCAGTGTGCTCTCTCTCTCTCTCACACTCTGACTCTGACTCGGCCAAGCCTGGGGATAAAAAATTCTCCCTAGAGCGCTGTGGCTCCGGACTGGCGCTGCCTCGTTTCCCCACTAGGGGTCACTCTCAGCCGCCTCCAGCCACAAAAATTGAACCTGTTGCCCACGGAAATAAATAAGGAATCGCCAAAGGTTCGGTCCCCGCTTTGTGTTATTCGCTGCGACCCAAAGGGGAAGCGAATCCGGCCGGGATCCCGGGGCCGCTGGGCGGGGGGGCGGATGCAGGTGCAGGGGCGTTGTGAGTGCGTGTGCCCGTGGGCCAGGCTGGGGGTCAGGGCTGGGACGAGGATCCTGGCTGCCTTCAGTCCTGTCCCTCCCCACTGTGCTGGGACCAGCAGCTGGAGCCTGGCTCGTGCTCCGAGCCCCGGAGCTGGGCACCTCAGCGCGGCCCGTCCCCAGCTCCATCCCGGCGCTGGGGGGCAGAGGAGACTGGGGCGGTGCGGGGGGGGGATGTCTCTCTAGCCCCCGCAGAGGCGGCAGCCGCCCGGTCTCAGGGCGAAGGGGAGGGCAGGGCGCTCGGGATCCACCTCTCCCCCCAACACGCCACCCGAATCCGGGGTTCCAGGGATCTTTCCAGGAGCTGCTTTATGCTGGAAACTGGGGGGTTTCCAGTCCTGGCTGGTGCCCCACCATAAAACCCACATTCACAGTGTAATTAAAAGGGCAGTAGCAGGACGGGAACATATTTTCAGGTTTATGACAAAAAGTGGGACTCTTTTAGGCTGTGAAAGGCCCCACAAATAAACCAGCCTCATTTCCCTCCCGCACGAAGGCCTGTCAGAGGGGTGGCCCAGGAGACGGTAGTGCAGGCTGCATTCTCTCTGTGTGTGTATGCGTGTGTGTGTGTGTGCACCTGTGTGTATTCTCTCCCGCTTTCCATTACAAGGGCTTATCCTAGCTCCAATCAGACTCAGAACAAGGCTTCTAACACCCCCAGAACCCACTAAAATTAAATGTGAGGAAATCCATCAGACCACCAGCATCAGACACAAATAATCTCCAGATCCACACCACACAACCCTGGACTCACTATCACACATATGATCCATACAGACACAGACACACACACAGAATTCAATACTTAGACACACACAGTCAAAGGCACGATTTTACACACACATGCTCCAAGACTGGCTATCACACACAATCAAACATACGCTCCAAGTCTCATGATCACACACGCACAATGTATGTCTATGCAGCAGAGTTTTTTAGGGAAAATGGCCATTTTTTCTGAAAAAACTTGGGGTTTTTTTAAAGAAAAAATTTAAAGAAAATCGAAAGAGCAGAGGGGTTTCTCCAGCATCGCTAATCCTCATTCTATGAGGAAGAAGCCTGTTTCTGAAAGCGCTCTTCTGGAAAAAGGCCCGTGCAGAGGAGGAAGAGGGAATTCTTTCGCAACAAGAGGAAACAGGGAAAAGCACAGGCGCCCTGTCAGCCACTCCACCCACAGTAACCACAATTTACATGCGAGACAGCGTCCATTCAGTGTGCACACGATCTGTCGAGAAAGCAGATCGCTTTTGCGATGTGCTTTGGCAGTGTGGCTGCTCCCTTTCAGAAGAAGTTTTTCCAGAAAATCTCTTCCGGAAAACCTTTTTCCAAAACAAGCCTGCAGTCTAGACATAGCCACAGAGTCAAACATTCATTACCACACACAGGAAGACACACAATATCCGAGATCTGCTATTACAGACACACACATGATCCAAGAATCTGCCCCCCCCACACACACACACGATCCAAGTCCCCTCCTCCATCCCCCTCCCAGACACACACTCACCCAGACACCTGCTCCCATCCAGTTTTCTTGTGTCTGTTTTATTCTGTTAATCCCGTTCCAAGGACAGTGAATCCGAGCCCTGCCACAGCGGCGCGGCTCCCCAGAGCAGGGGGGCTGTGCCGCAGGAGGGGGGATCAGGAGAGGCCGTTCACCAGCAGGACGGCAAGGAGGGCTGGGAGGACGAGTCTGCCTGCTTCTGGAGCCACAGTGGCCACGCGGGAGGAGGCTGGTCTGCATTTGGCCGTGGTGAAATCCACATCAAACTCCACGATGGCCCCTTTCAACTGCTGAATATTAGTGCAGATGGACTCACTGGCGCAGCCTTTCATGGTGGTCTTTATACTTGTCTCACCTGTGGGAGTCAAAGCAAGAGGGTCAGTGTCTGGGACCCCATTTGGGAAGCCTGTTATGCCTCTGGTCCTATACAACACGGTCTCCTTCCCCCTCTGAGCCCGTCCCTGCTGCCCATCGGGGTCCCCGTTACAGTCTCCCTTCCTCTGCTCTGATTCATCATCATTCAGTGAATCCCTGATTTCTAACGAACTCTAACATCAGTCCCACCATTCTCCTGTCAATGGTGTTGCTCACTGATGGTGGCAGTAGTGGGATCCTTAACCAGTTCTCATCCAAAGGGCCTGTACAGACCCTGGCACATAGGGACTCCTAATTTTGGCAAAGGCAAGTGTGCAGCAGAGGATTCACCGCTCAGCCAAGGGGTCTGTGCAACAGTTGGAGTAAAAAGGCCCCGAACTCAGTTGGGGCATCTGTTACACTGTTCCACAACCAGTAAAAAAGAAATATCTCTGGCACTTCCGGGTCCCCCCAGCTGGGAAATTTCTGCAGCAGACCCAGGCAGGGTGTGTTTGTACTGTCACTTTTTCTGTATTACTTTAGAGCCTGCTATTCTACAAAGAGAGAGACACCAAGGCAGTTTGGGGAACTTTGTTCAGGGCATTGTGCACAGGAGAGTATCCTGCCTCAATCAGCGGCCAGCACTAGATGCTGCACACAAAGGTATCCAAACCACTGATATGAGGGATATCACTAATACCAAGAAATCCGTGTAAGACTGGAAAAAGAAGGTTCAACAGTTTTCTGATCATGCATTATGATCTCTCCAGCTCTTCCTGATAAACAAGAATCTTTTAGAATTTTACATAGTTCTTGACCAGAGCAGTTTGCAGTGGTGGGGAGTTCCAAAGATTAACGGGTTATTGGCTGGAAAAAGCATTTAATTTAATCATAGTGCACTTCTCCCTTTTCAATTATATTTCCTCTCCTATGCCAGAGAGTGCTCAGACATTCTCTTGTGCTCTGAGATTTTTCAAGTGAAACCTTTCTGCTGTTAAAAATAGAAATGTGAACATATTTTGTGAATTCAGATTCGTCAGACTGTTTCAGTGGGAAGAGTCCCCCATGAAAACAAATTCTGGGAAAAATCAGACTGGTTCATTATTGTAATTCAAAACAACTTTCCCTTCCAACATTTTATATAAAAGAACTATTTAACGTTCCTCACTGCAGGGGCCTGCCCATGTGCGTGGTCTCTCCTGGGTGGGGAAATCGGACAGAGAAACAGCCGGATGCCAATTACTTCTTTTCACTGTGCCGCTGACATGCAGGCAGTGGGTCTGGGAGCCTGTGCAGTCGATGATCTCTTCCTTGCAGTGATGGGAGAACACAGGGAAACAGGCTGGGCAGCGCTGGCCGTTCAGTGTGGTGTTAGCCGGGGGCACTGAGAAAAGTGGAGCAAATACAGTCAGTTCAGGGGATGAGCCCCAGGGGGCGGTGGACAGGAGGAGCAGCTGGGGGCTGCACCGCTCAGCCCCGGATCCCCCTGCAGGGGGCGCTGCAGCTTTGGGGTACCTGAAGTAGCAGGGGCAGGGAGAGATTGGCAACAGGGAATCCTGGATCCGGTTCACAGGTGGTGAGAGCCTAGAGCCCCGCCCACCGACCTCCCCATACCCAGGTGTTCAGGGTTACCCAATGGGGCGCCCCCTGCAGGGGGATCCGGGGCTGAGCGGTGCAGCCCCCAGCTGCTCCTCCTGTCCACCGCCCCCTGGGGCTCATCCCCTGAACTGACTGTATTTGCTCCACTTTTCTCAGTGCCCCCGGCTAACACCACACTGAACGGCCAGCGCTGCCCAGCCTGTTTCCCTGTGTTCTCCCATCACTGCAAGGAAGAGATCATCGACTGCACAGGCTCCCAGACCCACTGCCTGCATGTCAGCGGCACAGTGAAAAGAGGTAATTGGCATCCGGCTGTTTCTCTGTCCGATTTCCTGGGGTCTTGATCTCCCCTGAATGGGAGGAAGAGGAGATGAGGCTTCAGGTCTCTGCCTCCCCCTTGCAACGCTTCACAGGTGTGATTCTGACCTATCTAGAGAGTGGGAAACTGAGGCATGACTCACCCCAGGTCAGTAGAGAACCAGCAGGACTCGTCCCCCTAGCTACCTCTCACCCGCTGGATTTCTCTTTCCTCTCAGAGTCGGGGAGAGAACCCAGGAGTCCTGACTCTCCCGGCTCTAACCCACCAGACACCACACCCCTGCCAGGAGCAAAGAGAAAATCCCCCAGCCTCTCCCCTCCACCCACCAGCCCCAGCCCCCTCTCAGTACCACAGAGGTAACCCAGGAGTCCCAACCGCCCCTGGTTCTGGGCGGGCTGACGCCGACCCAGCCTGTGTTCTGGGCTGGTTCAAGGTCTCTGCACCTACCTACTACGGATTCTGTTTTCATGATCCCGCAGGAATCCAGTTCCTTGCTGCAGAATTTCACAGGGCCCATACAGCTGTCACCTTCGCTGTGGCAGACCTCACACAAAACACAGGTCCCTAGAGAAGCAAAGGCAACAGGATCCATCTGCAGCCCAGGGAGAAGATCTCGGAGCAGGGGTGTATTTCACCCCGGGGGGGGGGAGGGGGCAGCCCCTCTCCTGCAGAGCAATTTTCCTGGGTGGGTCTTTGTCTGTCTGCACCAGGTAGGGGTCCAAACACCCTCCCGGCCCCGTTCTCACCTGTCTCCAGCAGGGCCCAGACGAGGCAGCAGAGGAGAAGCGTCTTCATGGTGCTGGGGCGGGAGCTGGACCCGGGCGGG